TGCGGCCCTTGGACTTCCGCTTCGGATTCATGCTCAGAAGATGAGTCAGACTGGTGAAGACGGCTCATACTGTCACAAGGGGTGGGGCTGCAACAAGCTTTTGAGCGTTTTGAGCCTCGAAACACCTACCACGTGAAAATCTTTGCCATTTGCACGACTGCCGCATAAAACCCATGCATTCGGGAAGTTACAGTAATACCATTGTTTTTGCTCCTCACTACGTGGGTGTGTGAGTGAATCTAATTCACTCCACTGTCAAAAACTCAGTGATGTAACAGCACAGCCGACATCACTCAGCGAGGGTGCCGTCATCGCATGGCTGCAAGACCTCGGATCAACTCCTGGACTTGCACCAATCCTTGCGTCAAGCTCTGCAACTGCGTGGCCACAGCTGTGATGTCGCCAGTCCCGCTCATCTTGACTTCCTCAAGAAACGCCTGGTGCTGCAAGAGCTGTTCCAAGTTATTCTTGAGCTGGACCTTCAGCACTGTCGCCGCCTGTCCTGCGCTGGTGGATTGGTATGCCTTGCGGGAGGCCTGCTTCGCCTGGGACAACCAGGCAAGCGCATCATCGATCTTCTGCATTGCTTTTTCTGGTAGTGCATCAGCTTCAGCTCCGCCAGCCACGGCGCCAGCGCCTGAGCCACGACCGATGTCCAAGATGCTCAAAGTGCCTTCCAAGAAACAAGATCTGTGACAGCATTAAAACCCATTATTCAGAGAAGTGCTCCTTCAGAGAGGGTGTTCTTTCATAGTGTTTCTTTCAAAAGAATACAAACATAAAGTATTTTTCAGAGTGTTTTCTTGAGAGTTTCCATTCAGTGTTCTTTCAGAGAGTTTCAGAAATACTTTTTCGAGAGTTTCAGGAAAAGTGTTCCATCAGAGAGTTTCACAAAGAGTGTTATTTCAGAGTCCTGTCAGTTTGCTTTCAGAGAGTTCCTTTCAGAGACATGTTGAATAAATATTCTCAAAGCTAGGGTGTCACCGTTTCGTTTCGTTTCCCGGATATGCACCTGACCCAAGTGGCATCCTCTCCACGCAGCGCGAAGAAGCAGGCATTCCAGCGGGCGCCCTGTGCCAGGACGCAGGTCCCGCGGTGAGAGCGGGCATTCCGCTGCTGTCGTCGAGCAAACTTCCAAAGCTGGGCTTGAAGTTGTCCAGGAAGGCGCCAAAGCTTGACAACTCCTCTTTGCCGGCTGCTTGCACCCCAGACGACGCTGCGACTTCTTCATGCTTCCCATGTGTGCGCGTCACTGCGATTTCCTGAAAACAATAGAAAGTCTTTCCTTTCTCTTGCACAGGGACAACGTCCCCATCTCTCAACGCCTGCTCCAGCTGTCTCTCTCCCCCCAGCTTTGCCACAATGAGTGCTTTTGGTAAGCCACGCGCGGTTTCGGAACCGCACACCGATTGGTATGTCTTGGCAAGGGTGGCCACTGTCGGGTTGTCCAAGCAAAGTTCCCACTTCCCATCATCTTCAGATCGGCGCACGCAAGAGTGGACGAGTTTGGTCTTGTCCCGCCTGGAAACCTCTTTGGATTGGAAAAGCGACTGGATGTTCTCTGGCATTTTGTTCAACACCTTGCCAAAAAACCATGCCTTCTTCGGATCCCTCGTCTCATCTCCATCGTCAGCGGCGATGGGCTCTGGTCGCTCGACCTCGAGTAGCAAAGACTTTGCCTTTTCCTCATCGCGGCTTTTAGCCTTCGACACTTTTTCTTCCTTCTCCTGCTTCTCCTTCTTGCTCTTCTCTTTCTTTGCTTTCTCAGTTTTTTCCTTCTCCTTCTCCTCCTTTTCCTGCTTGGCCTTCGCCTTGGCTTTGCTCTTCCCCTTTGCCTTTGCCTTCCCTTTAGCTTTGGCCGTGGCATCGGCTTCTAGAACCTGCTCGGCTTCTGCAGCCTTGGTCGCACTGGTCGGTTTGTGAGCAGCAGGCCTTTTCATTTTCTTCGGTGGCTCTTCTACTTCTTCTTCGTTTTCTTCACCATCTGCTTCAGGTTTGTGGCCATCTTCGAGCTCAGCCTCCTTGTCCTCGAGCTGAGACTCAGCCAGAGCTTCAGCTGCGCCCAAGGCCTCTGACATGACCGCGTCTGCTTTAAGCAGTTTCACTGGGACCTGCAGCTGGAGCCTTGTGAAACCATTGCATGTACAACATCACGACGTAGAACATCACGAAACACGCATGAGGACATGTAAGATATTCCACATGTACTGTTTTGCGCAAACTAGGTCTACGAAGATCAATGAGAAACCTGTCGGTTCTCAAGACCACGCTCCATCAGTTGACGAGGAAATGGACCATATCGAAAAGCAACCATTGCCAATGACGATGTAGGTGTTTGCAGCGCAAAAGGAAACTGACACATTGTCTCATCTCAGACCTCATCAACTCCTCATTTGGGTGGAATGGACGCCCCAAGGCTGGCCATCCAGGTAGAGGCGCACGCAATTGTCCATGGTCTCTATCAGAGATCTCTTCACCTTGCACCATCAGCCGCACATAGCAAAGTGCTCGCTCCATGTCTTCCAGGTAAGCTTTCTGCAACTGCTGCTGATCGGCTTGCAGATAGTAGAGGACGATGTTTCGCCAGTTCTCGACATTGTTTTCCAAGTCTACGCCATCTGGGTAGGAGTTGTTCAAAATGCGTTTCACGTCTGCAGCGTGGTCCAACAAAGACATGGCGCAAGAAAATACCGAAAACTCACACACTATTGCAAGGGCCAAAACCTATACAGAGGAACTCTGACGTACACTCTCAAAAAGCTTCTAGAAAGACTCTTTGTAATCTAGAAAACCTCAAGAACACATTCTGGAGTGAACTCTCAAACAAAATCCTCCGGACTGAGCCCCCTGGAAACTCTCAACCATGAAACTCTCAATTAAAAGCCTCAAAACTCCTCTGGACTGAACGCCCCTCACAAAACTCTCCATGAAAACCTTCAGGAAAACTCTTTCAACCCTCCATGAAAACGCTGAAGAAAAAAGTGAAAACTTCTCTGGTCTGAATCCCCTAGAAACTCTCCATGAAAAGTCAAGAAACTCTCTCAACTCTCCATGGAAACGCTCAAGAAAACTCTCAAAACTCATCCGGCTGAATCCCCTGAAGAAACTCTCAATGAACACTCTCAGGAAAACTCTCAAATCTCCATGGAAACTCTGAAGAAAATTCTCAAAACACCTCCAGAAACTCTCCATCAAAACTCTCAGTAAAACTCTCTCAGACCTCCATGAACGCCCAAGAAAAACCCACAAAACTTCTAGAAACTCTCCATGAAATCTCTCAGGGAAACCATCAACTCTCCATGGAAACTCTGAAGAAAACTGAACCCCCTAGAAACCATCAACTCTCCATGGAACTCTGAAGAAAACTCTCGAAACTCCTCTGGAATGAACCCCCTATAGAAACTCTCCATCAACATTTTCCAGAAAACTCAACAAACTCTCAATGGAAACTCTCAAGAAAAACCCTGGAAACTCTCAATGAACGCTCAAGAAAACTGTGGACTGAACCCCTAGAAACACTCCAAAAAACATGTCAATACTTGAAAATTTGGAAAATTCTAAAAGACCGAAACCTTTTTCAAAAGGAACAAACAACGATTAACCATTAACATATGGTACAAGTTTTACAAAAAACACTAAAAATAAGATATGTACTATCAGCGAAGATAAGATATATATCTTATCATCTAAAATCTTAAAACTATACATATATCTTATTATAAACTATTATCTTATCATCTCTAAAATAGTTTATTAATAGACTAAGAGGAGCCTAGGGGAATGTCCAATTGTTGCGCTGTGTGTTCTGCCATATCTTGGACATGTGTTGGGGTTGCCTGCTGCTTCAACAGTGTCAAAACGGCCCCTGCTACGAAGAACCGTTTCGTGCAGTTTGGAGCATCAGACGGGGTCCTGTCACGTCAGGGAATGCGGCGTCACAATGTGGCGTCAGGGGGTAATGCGGCGTCAAAGGGGCCATGTGGCGTCAGGGAATGCGGCGCCAGAATGCGGCGTCAGGGAGTAATGTGGCGTCACGGGCAAATGCGGCGTCCGGGAATGTGGCGCCACAATGTGGCGTCAGGAGGTAATGCGGCGTCAGAGGGGCAATGTGGCGTCAGGGAATGCGGCGCCAGAATGCGGTGTCAGGGGGGAATGCGGCGTCAGGGGATGTGGCGTCAAATGTGGCGTCAGGGAGTAATGTGGCGTCAGGGGAGGAATGTGGCGTCAGGGAAGAATGCGGCGTCAGGGGGTAATGTGGCGTCAGGGGGTAATGTGGCGTCAGGGAATGCGGCGCCATAATGCGGCGTCAGGGGGTAATGCGGCGTCATGGGGGAATGTGGCGTCAGGGAATGTAACGTCGCAGTACTAGGAAAGTGGCGCCATAACGTGGCTGCAGCGTCAAGGTCAAAAGCGGGATCCCGTCTGCCGCCGCCCTGTTTTGATGGCTGTGGGCTGTGAAGCATGGATTTAGTACAAAGCCAATAAGACAACTGTCTACATCAAACGCTCTCCCAGATGACTAGAAAAAAACATCCCTCCCTTGCTGCACATCGTGTGGTTTGGTGCATCAACCCAAGACCTTCTAAGAATAAGTCTTTTTCGACACTTATCCGGGCAGATGTGGTCGTTGTGTTGCCACGTTGCTTGACCTGTGTGGTCGATCCTGCCTGCGCAGAATGTGTCGTTTGCCGAGTAGTCAAAAGCAGAGTCATACCCCAGATGGCATGTACGAGACGAAGACAGAGAGAAAGGGTTAATTCTAGACATGGGCATGAGCAAAGACTTTCGTTGCGCCAAGTGGCTATGGCTGCGTCTCAATCTCGGAAGAGAGACTCATGCAAAGCTGCCACTGCAACCCCTTGATTTAACAGGAGGCAAGGACAGAAACACATCCCAGTTCTTCTAGAAGCGATGCCAAGGCAAGATATTGAAAAGGTTGGTATTCAAGGACTACCCCGGCCTGGTCTTGCCTAGCCTATGGTTCAGGGGCCCCGATCACACTGCCTAGTCAAACAAACCAGCAGACTCCACTGTTGTAGGCCACCTTGAAGTGTCCTTCCCCCACTGATAGCTCAAGAGGTAAACGCCAGCGTATAGATGCACACGTCCTCGGAACAGGAACAGAGAGAGAGAGAGAGATGTTTCTGGGCCTTTTCGCACGCATGACCAGGACGGCACTGAGAGTTGAAGAGCAAGAACAATGTACAATCAGATTTTTCATGTGCACTGTCATGGTGCTTTCAGCAACCCCGAAACAAGGGCATCTCTACTAGTATCTCCTGGCATCGCTACTAGTTCTTTTCGTCAGAGACACCATCGCTCCGCATCGGCCCGTCCGGTCCGGCCACGGCACGAGGTCATCTACAGTCCACAAGGCCGTACTCCAGAGTACCAGGAGACAGGTGGAGCTGCATGTGTCTCGTGCTGCATCTGGAGCTTGGATGTGGGTGGACATTGGCAACTCATGGGTTGCTAAAGGAGGTGTTATTTGCGGTGCCTTCTTATGTTGATGCAAGAACTTGAAGAACTCTTGCTCTTGCACCTTCCTTCAGCACCTCTCGTCATGTGATGGCCGGTCTCTATCTTCTAAAAGATGCGAGATCTCTCTCCTCCCATGATTTGGACGAGTCGCCGGTCACCGATTCTTCCGGTGAAACCACCACCGCCCTGTCACCACCTGCCGGTTCCATCGCCGGTTCCTTCCGACCGAGGCGTGCCGGAAGCAGCTGGGTTTTTCAACGAGAACCGGTCCCGGTGGGGGCGGTTTCGGAGCGGTGCGGGGGTCGGAGCGTTGGTGGGTTGGTGATGGTTGGTGATGGTTGGTGATGGTTGGTGATGGTTGGT